CGTGAGAAACACAGTACCATGATCGGTTTGCGAGATAACACACCTGTTCCGACAAAAATCGTATTTCTAGATCGTCAACTAGAGTGGCGTAGTGACTTCCAATGAGACCGCCTGTTTCATGTGTGAAAAACAATGAAAGGTTATTGAACACCAGTGCGTCACCTCTGCTTCGCAGAGGCTCCCACTGGCCTTACTTTCTATAAGCTTAACTCATTCCCGCATAGTAATGACATTGAAACTCACCGCGCCATGCAGGCTATTACAAATGATTAAAAAAACAACTGCTCATTCCTAGAGCTTCTTTCTGTGAGATCGGTATTTTCGCTTGGATGAAACTTTTCCAAAAAGAATAAATGCGAATTTGAATCGGTTTTTGGACTTTTTATGACCTGATAGTCACCATAATGACAATAATCACCATAGACTACATCTCTGTGCAAAATTCTCAAATGATCAGGTAAAATTTTGGCAAATCAAACGTTTACTTAACCGATTCTTTTTGGCGCCGTTTTCGCAAAGTAATAAACTTTAGTTCGATTTTCTAGGCTAAAGTCCATGGCTTGCACAATAACTTGTCGAACATATCCGTGACTTTGCAAAAAGTTGTGTTACAGGCTCAATTTTACTGGCCAAAAGCCAAGTGGATCCGATTGACGTGCATTTTTTGAGGGATCCACACAATGGATCCGCTCGTGCTTTTGTGTAGTGGACTTTCCTGTTAGTAGCACGCGCTGTGCAAAACTTGGGCTCAGGAGGTTGGCTGGAACACATTCTACGAATTTCGTGACAGACAGACAGACTTACATACACACAGAAACACGTACATCCTTAGCCCGTTGTTATAAGTTATGATATTCACGTACATAAATTTACACATGGCTGCGCAATGCGCGCCCCATGCCCCAATGTAAATTTCTCCTGCGCAGGGTCCTCTCTGTTGGAGCACGCTAGACATTGTAGACTTGCCCTCTACGCTTCTGACAAACGTAATGTGAATGCTCCCGTAGTTTTTTCAGACCATATACCTGTCTCAAATCTAAGGTGAGGTGAAATTCCTACATAAACACTTTTTCAGTATAGTTGGAAGCTTACAATAGCATAAGAGGTTCTCTAAACTTCCCTTCTTCTTGCATAGTGCTAAAACGGTTCATCGCCTTATGTGTCAAAGTTTGTTGTTCGAAAGTTGGAAAACAGTATCATTATAATCTGTTCTTCGCATGTGCAGGCAATTTGTTTTGAAGTCTGAGTCTAGCTCCCATCCTTAAAATTGTACGGAGTTAGAACTTTTATCTTATTGCTCTACACCTGGTGCCAATATTGGCTTCTAACGAAAACTGAAGAGGGATTTTCCTTTTTTGTCTAACTTTATGAAGCTTTTGTATTTGAGCGATGTTTGGAACTTGCATTTAATGTCAAAAGTTTCACTGACCTGAGGAGCAAGTCTGGATGCATGCCTTTTCATGAGTATATTGCTGTTCAGCAGATTTGCACCTTCTAAGGAGTAGGAACTATAGGCTATGGTTGGTCATGATAGGGAGTTACCAAAGTAAAAAACTACCCGACACAAAGCATAGCAGTGCATGCTTACAACTTGCATCTTGATATGAGCAGCTACGCGGATCGATGGACCAAGGAGCAGTTCCTGATTATTTGAATAGATTAGTTGTTTGTAAGCACATCGATAGCAACATCCGGCAGTGGAAATGCATGCACTGCAATGTTTCGGATACAAATGCTGTGAAAAACCTACGCATTCCTTCAAATATTAGTAGCTCCATAATAAGCTCAACCCTACCAGGACGCATCAGAGTTGAACAGCGACTCCTCAAATTCGGATGTGCAAGAATTCTCCTATGATTTTCTTTTACAACTGGAGTTGGTCTATATGTTTTGCTAGGATTACAAACTGACTCACAAAACATGCAAGCAGTTTTTAGTCAAAGGCACTAAGATGCTTTTTGATAAAAGAAAGTTCTGCTCCTCTCTTTTGTTCTATGTCAAGGTTTGCGCGAAACATTCGAGGACTTTGATTTGAAAAGCACTATCGTGCGCTTGATACATCGATGGTTACTGCACTTATCGGAAATGCCCGTTCGCACCTTAAAGGCAGTGTCCAGGCTAAACCTAACCCCCTCCGATTAGTGTCGATTCTGAATGTAGGTCCCAGAAAAGGGGCAACTGCGTTGGTCCGGTCTTCTAACGTTGTCTCTGAATGGAGATAAGGCGCCTGGAAGTCCCTGGCTTGGCGGAGTCTGATATCAGACTCCGCCCACCAGGAACTGCTCACTACCTTGTCAATACGTGCCTTCCGACACGTATTGACAAGATAGTGAGCAGAAGCTGCACACTGCACACTGCAATGCAACTGCACCCATGCAGTTGCAGCTCCTTCCCGCTGGCCTGCCGACGGGGACGAGCAATTCGAAACTCGTCCGCGCCCTCAAGACTGGGTCCCAGGAATCGGGTTTTTTGTGAATTTCAGAGAGTTTGAAGTTCGGAACTGTAATCGAGGCCACGGAAAGGCCCCAGAGTGACGAAAACATGGGGGGCCAAATTCTGGGTGGACGCTGCCTTCAAAGGCACCGTCCAGATTTTCGACTTAGGGTGGACGATGCCTTTAATTACACTTTCAGGTATGAACGTATCAGAAACAAAAGATGTCTTACTATCTATCAGTGTGTTGGGATTTACAGAATATTCGGAATGTTTTTTGCCTACTAAAAAATTTGCGGAAACAAAAGCTCTGAGAACAAACCTGCATTAGTTTACCCGAATCATATTAGGAACATCAAAAACTTCTTTCTGTACAACATACTTCGCGCTACGAATTGTCATGGATCTTGGAAAATCACCAATACTTTCTTTTTTCAGAACCGCGATGGTCACATCGCTTTCACTGTATGCTAACAAGCAAAGAGTCTTTCGCTAAACGGCAGAACTATATGGTGAAATCGCTTTCACTGTATGCTAAGCAAAGGGTCTCGCTAAACGGCAGAATTATATGCAAAAATTCAACTACGCGACAGAACTATGTGCAAAAAATCATAAGTTCACTGTGTTTAGAGTGCTCCGGGGCATAAACCATGCGCGCTCGCTAAATTCGCGCCCGAAATTCGCGCTGGGTCATGGGGCGCGCTTTGCGCAGCCATGTGTAGATTTAAAGGCAGTGTCCGGGCAAAAACTCGATTTTGAGATTTTGTGCTTACTTGGGCCTATTCGCTACGCTGAATCCGAAAATGCATATTGTAGAGCGCGAAAATGGCGAAAAACGGCTCTAGCACAGGAGGGAAATGAGCAGGTGGGCGAGGCTCTCCCCACTGCGAATTCACGTTCCCGGCTTCCGGAGCGACCTTGTCGCTTCCGGTTTCAAGTCAATCATTCGCACTTGACCGGTAGCGATGTTAGGACGGCTAGCGGAATCGAGGAAATCGCTCCGGGAGCGTGAAATCGCACTGGGGAAAGCCCCGCCCACCTGCTGATTTCCCTCCTGTGTTAGGGCCCTTTTTCGCCGTTTTCGCGCTTTCCAATGTGGATTTTCGGATCCAGCATGGCGAATAGGCCCGTATAAGCACAAAATCTCAAAATCGAGTTTTTGCCCGGACACTGCCTTTTAGTACGTGTTTGAACATATGATTGTTCTTATTGTCACTGGTTAAGAAGCTATGTTCATGAGGAGTTTTTGGTGTTTCTGCAGTACTAAATTGTCATAGCAATTTTATGAACGACTGAGATAGACCAAAGGTCCCTGCGCTATACCTGCACGAGTGACCGACACAAGTGCTTACGGCACAGAAGTTACTAAAGATTTCATCTTTAAGTTCCTCTGTCTTTGGCTCCTTGAATTACAGGCCCAACTTTTTCCATAGTCAATCTTCTTACACCAAATAAGCTTCATAAGTGAATTTGTAGCAATGCTCCTTCAGTGTTTCTATGCTTTTATTGTGAACGCTTTATGGCCAACTATTTTGAGCCCTATTTTTTGACAGGCTTAGTGGGGGAAAATTTTGAGGCTTGAAAAACAAGAAGCTTAGCTCGCAGTCAGTCAACTCGTTTTGTGCCACGTTTCACATATTTGACAACATCGTGGGCGAGGATGACAATTAAAGTTACGCGACAAAAGTCTGTGAGCCTAGTTTTTTTTTGAGAAAACCACAAGAATGTTATCTAAATTGAGAAACCTGGTTCAGTAACTCAAAGACTTACATACAGTTAGCTCCAAAATTTTGAAATATCTAGGCGATATTTGTGAATCTTGAAAGCTTTTAACGCGGGTTTCCGACTTGGAAAGTGGACTTGTTGCGACAATTCTAGAAAGATCCCAACTTGTGGCGTAGCTTGTGCCACACCCTCCGTTTGAAAACAATCTATGACTCTTCCAAAAAAAAACTTGAACCTCAACTATAATAACGGGCGGAAAGTCTCATCTATGCGATTAAAGTCCAAAGAAGAATCAAAATAGCCAAATTGCCATAAATAGTTTCAGTTTTGTTCTACTTCGCTGTCGATGTCCCACGAATCAATCTTTTGTCTGCCGGATGTGTACGACATAATTTTGAAGAAAACAGGTACCGTCGCCACCAAAACAGATGAGCAGTGACCGCGCGTAGAAGGATGATGTCTGTGTTGCGTCGCAGCCTCTGCCAGATTTCGAATGTCGAAAACAACCATCCATTTTCGACAGCGATTCCAGTCACCAGTGGAGGCTGGTCAATGGCAGTCAGCCAAATTAGAGGAGCGAGCTGCTGTGGGCTTCTCTTCCGTTGTGTAGACGTCCATCGTTCTTAATTTCTTCGCTCTTATTTCAAATATCCGTTTTATTCACTGTGCGCGACTTCTCAAAGGTCGGCCGGTTCTCCAGATTCATGCTTCGAGTATCAAAACAGTGTGTACGGATAATGACGCGAGGACTTTGTCGTCATGGTGTTTGGTGTATGGACGATCATTTTGCTTCTTCGATGATCGCATATTAGCACGTGATTCTCATACATTTATAAGGAGGGCTTTTAGAAAACAACTGCATATTTGGCAGGCACAGCACGACGATTCTCTTACGAGGATAGCATATGAATACTTCCTTCACACTATGTTTATATGGATCCTAATTCTAATCACTGCTTCCTTGAGCGATGGCAAGTTTTCAGTATTTTTTGATTTGAACCCAGTTATCTTTATTGGATCCATAGTAGCTGAGCATTGAAGATTCACCTTAACACTTTGTAGTTTTTTTTATTCATTTTTGAGCATTCTTCCACCCTGAAAAAATTGAGCTCATAATTGCTGAGTAAAAAATTGGGATAAATAATACGTAATAGAAAAGAATAAAAAGAGGAAGGTAAAAAAATTGTGGAATGAACTGAATTTTTTTTTTGATTTTGTCTCCTTGACAAATTCTCCATTTTTTCATTATTCGTGTAACTATGTGTTCGCACAAACAGTATTTCAACATGCATGTGACTTTCAAAGCAATATCTTTCTGTTTTGGTTTATCTCCTTGTAGTTGAAGCAGATGATTTTGCTTTACCTAATTTGGGTGATACTTCTAAAAACTACCATTCACATTCATCATTACAGCAGTTTCACTACGTCTTGTTCGCATCGCATGCGAACGCGACCCTACTCTGCACTTCTGCGATTCACATATATTAGGTGGGGAGTTGATTGATAACTTTTTGATTCTTTCTGATTAGTTCGTTGTGATCGATACTCATTAGCGAAAGGGTGATTGTTTCACAAAGCCATCAATCTAGGTGACCCAGTCACTTCCACTAAAAAACCGGTTGAATCGACGACACTTTTTGTTCGGACAAATGGCAAAGTGCCTGGATTGAATAGCGAGGAACAAGAACAGTTTTTCACGTGGCTTACCGATTTCAGGGACGAGGTGGTGAGTGTTAGTCTGAGATGTTTTTTCTTTGAAATAAAAAGAACAAGTGTGCTGTGTAGGTGGTGGCAGATCCTGAGATCGACACAGAAGAGCTTGAAACTCAACATCGCCAACACAAGAATAGGGCCGTGTACTGTAACAAGTACAGGGTATGTTTTCATGAATTTCAAGTATTATTTGGGGCTATAAACCAAGTTTGCTGATGATTGTGCAGTTTAGGCCAACTTTGATCACTACTGCAAAGATAGTGATGTGGAGAAACTGGAAGGTGTGCTACCTCAGTTTTGCTCTATGTACGGACGCCATTGTGGAATTGAGTAAGCATCGCTTCTACTGGAGTATCATCATCCTAACATTCCTTGTTTAGCGAAGATGACTTCCCCACTCCTGCTCCATTGCTCGGATCGAAACAGCAAATCAAAGCAGAAATAGCTCCGATTGCACAAGCGGCTGCTACAGGTGAACTACCACTCAATATGGAGCAAAAATTGAAAATTTTAAAAGTGTTACATGAGAATTCTTCTACTCTCCCAGCCCTCTTCGTCAAAAGTATTGAGATAGTCAGCACCTACCGAACTCTTATAACCTCTGAGTCTTTAGTAGTCCAGATAAAATCTCAATTTGATAGAACAGTAGCTTTGACCAACTTTTTTTTCCGATAGTAATGTGAAAGAAGTTTTGTTTACAATTCTAGTAAAGCACTCATGTTGGAAAACGCCAATTTTTAGAATTATTTTAAGTTATACAGTACCAGAACGGGCTAACAAGGAAAGGATACATGGTGACCGTGGTCTCTGGAAATGAAACGTAAACCATTAAATGCATATTGAAGCGCTGATTCCAAATCTGCTTTTGGTACCTGCTGTGCGCTCTTCCGAAAGAAGTTATGAACATTTCTTGTCACCAAAATTTGCGCTGTTTTTGATGCAGGATTCACCAATATCGTTAGAATGTCTGCTTACGCACTACAAAGGAGCGTACAGGTAAAGTAAAGCTTAGCGTTAAGCTCAGGAAAACTGTCACCGAAACATCAGAGTCTAAAAAGCCTGGATACTCACGATTTTGACTGCCTAAATCTCGCAAAATTTATATGGAAAAAAGTCCATACCTTCGTTCAGGGACTCGCACAGCAGATAATGAACATAGATTCAGAATCAGCGCTCCAAGACGCACCTAATGGTATATATCTCGTTGCAAAAGGCCACGGTCACCAAGTATCCTTCCCTCGTAAGTAGCCAAATTATTTTTGTTTTCAGATTCACCTGACGACTACTGCAAAAAATTCGCAGATCAATACGGACAGTTATGCGGCGCTTCGAAATCTGGCTCGGAGGATTTCTGCAAATCTTATAAGAAAGCTTGTGAAAAATCTGACAAATCTTCTAGCCCACCTGAAGAGTCTTCCACATCTTCTAACCCACCTGAAAAATCTTCTAACTCATCATCACCCGGTGAGAGTAGGTGAGCATATTCATGCGTGATTAACGTCAGAAAGAAAAAAAAATAATATCTTCATCCTGGCAAGTTACAAGAATCGAGCTTGTTTAGCTCAGCGTCCAAGGAAATTGACGAGCTTGAACCACCTCCTGAGAATGAAGCAGGTGGCAAAGCACCGCCAACAACGAAGGAACCAATGCGTGATGCAGCAAAGGTAAGTATTCATTATAGAATTAGAAGAGAGAGGAGGGGGATTTGGTGCATTTCACAAGAGATGGAACTCGATCGCGGTGAGTGACGATCGGGTAAGCGGTGTATACCATGTATACCGTCGCCAGACGGTGATCTCTAAACCGCACTCCATATTTGCTATGAAGTCATTCTGGAAGAGCTACAAAGGATTTTTGGTGCTGCAGGCGCAATCAACTACTAGACTTGTATCATCACTGCCGTGGTTGACTGGTGCAGTGTGGATGTCGTGGGTTCGACTCCCCTTGAATGGGCGGTTTTGCGTTTTTGCAAAATCCTTCATAGTTCCCAGAATGACGTCATAGCAAATATGGATTGCAGTTTAGAGATTACCGTCTCGGGACGGTATACGCGGTATACACCGCTTACCCCATCGTCACTGCGATCGAGTATTATCCTTCTCTTGTCAGCTATACTTCTGCCAGAATATGTTAATCATTTCCAGAGTGCTAAATTAGCGAGATACTGCGACAAGTACTGGGACAACTTCAATTATTTTTGTGCCGGTGAGAACTCGGAAGAGCACGAAAACTTCTGCCATTCGTATCGCACCAACTGTCCAGAGAAAGTCGGCTCGTAGGTGTTGCATAATAGATCTCTACCTCTACTAATAGTCGGGTTAGGAGCTCTCAATGAAAGGTCATCATAATGAGTTTACGAGTAGCCATAGCTGGTCATAGATCTCATAGCGTTCTCATAATGCATGGTCTATTCTCTGCCGAGATGTACAAAAAATTTTTTTATCTCAGACCTCACATAGCTATTTATAACAAAATCAGCACTGATATATGTTGTTGTTACTTATTTTTTATAATCTGTTGGCATGTTTGTAAATAAGATGTTTGAACATTATTTTTCACATTCAGGTTGAAATCGTCAGGGTCATTCCTAGGTGGTAAGGGAAAGGTAAATGCTTAGAATTGCTAGAAGTACATGTGTAGAAGCTCATTTGTATAGATTAGCAGCTACGAGCTCAGCTTTGTCGTATACATAACACTAGTCGGTTAACCACATTCCTTGTCTGGGAAAGTCAACACTCTCTGTTATTCGTATTTTACTCTTGCTGGAAAGCGCAAAACATTCCGTCCCTGGTGCTTTGGCGTTTTCAATTAGACACGAATGGCGTAGTGAGGCTCGGTAGGACAGGACCCGATCCCAGAGACTGCCAACCAAGACCTTCCCCTTTAGTTAAAGGCAGTGGATCGGCAGAATGATTCCCGTGGCAAAACAAGGTCACAAGGTAGGAGCCCCCATAATGGAACCTATCGGCCAAAGTCCTATCTTTTTTTTGCCACTTCTAACCCACGAAATTTCAACGCGAAAGCAGTGCTCATCTCCTCTCCTCTCCGACCCCGCCCACCCCATGGACGAGTGACTTCCAGGGTCAGAGCGCGCATGCCGCATGCTATAAGCAGAAGGGTCCCGCAACGACTCTGCATCTTCGCGGCGGGCTTCGCGTGCGCTGCTTGCGGTTTGAAATTTCGAGGGTTAGAAGTGGCAGAAAAAGTTTGAACTTTGGCCCATAGGTTCCTTTATGGGGGCTCCTACCCCGTGACCTTGTTTTGCCAAAGGTCTCATTCTGCCGATCCACTGCCTTTAAGGTAGATCGGCAGTATGAATTGCTACCAGACCAATCCGGGAGGATTGAAGTGTTGACTCAAAGGCAACGTCCACCCAAAATGTGGTCGATGAGATTTTGATGCCAAATAATAGTGTGGTCCCCAGCTATATACTTGTCCAACTCGCGCTGCTAGAAGTTGCTTCGCAAGCGAGAAATTTGCTTCGAAAATCGCTTTGGATGACAGATTCGCCACCTTGGCTCCTCCCCTTTGAGTGGGCGTAACGTTCGTCCCGCCCAATTGAACGCACCTAACCAATGAGCGTTCCGCACAATTCGCCCTGGGGGCTCTTCAAAACGAGGTTTGTCGGGGTTTTCGCGGATTCTCGACTTGATATTCGGAATTAGGGACATGAGAAGGCCCCAGAACGACAAAAACATGGAGGCCAAGAACTTGGGTGGACGGTGCCTTTAATAACCGTCTGACTCCGACAACAAAGCGCGCGACAGCCTCTTTTGACTAGAAACCCGAATGACACAGCTCATGCCCGAAGAGGATAATGAATTTTTTCATCCTATTCTAGTCAATGGCGTACGAGTGGTGTAGTGGGCCAGGGCTAGCAGAGGTGGCGGTTTTTCGTTTTTTGAAAAAAAAACGAAAGGGAGCACATAAAGTTCCCAGGGGTAATTTCCGGAAATGTGACAAAATATTAGCAAGCACGAAGCTAACCCCTGATAAGCCCTAATTTCAAACTCTGACGTCATTTCACCAACAATAGGTGGATTAACTCGTTACAAACACGATAAGTGCTCAGACCCGTGTGCACACAATTTCAACGTGTTCACAATCTTTGTGCTCAGTAAACGAATAAGTTCTTGTACAACCGGTAAGCAATATTGAGCCACAAAATTTGGTGTGTACCTTCGCTATGATGAAAAGGAAAGTGTGAAGAATTATGAGAAAATTATGTGAATGGATGGAGTTGTAAGCGTTGTTAGATTTAGGTTACTCAAGCGCAAGCTTGGTGCACTCTGCATTTCCAGAAAGTCAAGATATACAGGGTGCGGAAAAAGTACTGTCCTCAAAATAAAGTTTAAAAAATTGTTGTAACTCACAGGTTTTTCTGGTAGACATAATTCCCAAGATGGGAATATATCCTATCATTTTACAAAAAATGGCTTCAAAATTCTACAATTTTACTCGGCGGCGGATCCCTTTTCGCAGCGCTTCTCATATCAAATCTTGCAACTCCCCTTTACAATTCTGAAGAAGTGTGAGGATTTTTGAGAAGTTTTTTTTGTTTCACGCGAATTTGAGAAATCCTCTACTGCCTAAGGAATGTGGTAGTGGATCTCGAAATATTCTGGAAGTATCCAGTCAGCACTTGCACTTGGAGTAATGCTGTGTATTTTTCTAACGAGAAAGTGGCTGCGGTGCAACAGAGTGCGATCAGAAAACGTGGCACAAAGACTAGGTATAATCGTTTATCGCTCCAAAATCGTGATGTAGACAAAGTCCGATGCTCTTTCCATTATTCCTGCTACTTTTTGTTGGAATCTGGAATTTCGAATCATAGTTTGAGTCCATTTCATTAAGCAAGCGCAGTCCTGACTCGCCTCTTTTTCGAGAATTTTTGCGATTTGCGTGTGGTATATTCTTTCTTATTTGGCCAAAACAAGAGTCACTAATCTATAATTCATCTATAATGGGTATAGAATATTGGAGAAGGGGTCATGCGCTACATAACAGCTTAATTCGAACCTTATATAGTGCTGGTGGTATAGTTACGGTCCAAAATCGCGCTTGTATGCTATCGGCGCATCGTTAATGTTCTTGCGCGCTGTTATCACTCGTTCAAACGGACAGAAGGGAACAGTTTTAAACCAAACTTATCCTTATCTGATCTCAAGGATCTCGCCTACGAGTGGGAATCAAAAAACTACAGATTTACTTTATGTTTGGGGTATTTCAGGTGCCAAGTTGCAGGGACAGTACTTTTTCCGCACCCTATATATATATATAAAATCAAAGTTTTACGACGTATATGCTGATATACGGTAGTCTTCATTCCAGTAATCACTCCCAGCAATTGCACTGCACTAAATCTCGAGCATAGCATGTCCGTAGCTGTATACTCGTATCATGATTGCGAAAACACCACAGAACGAGAATGTGACCAAGAAGCGGTCGCAAGAAACGGAAAAGACGTCCAGAGCCTTGGTGCGAAAGTAGCAGTGCAAATTTAGGCCAATAGATCGGACTGTAAGTATAGGGCATTTGAAAAATCGTGACGATGGCGCGACCGCGCGCGACACGCACGCCACCTCAGGAAATCGTATTTTCTTGGTTTCAATCTCTGTCGGAAGGTTTCTTTGCTTACGTATGATAATATTGAGGCACTGGAAGTGACTGAGCTAAATGTTGAGGTAGTGTTTTCTTGTACAAGCGATTTATGCTCATGTGGGCGCAAAGTCCGCAGTAAAATCCGTCGTCACGATTTTACAAATGAACTATACATTCCTCTGCGTTGCAAACGTAGTTTGCTGTTAATGTTTGTGAGTAAAACAAATTTCAGCTCGCGCTATGCCTGCAGTTTGCGCTTGGAAAATGACCGTAGAGCGCACATTTTCTAAAACTTTTACTCCCGCTGACAAATCGTTCGCGCTCGAATGTCGGCAAATGTTGGCTCCGCGGGCACTATACTGACCAATAGAAATGTTGCCTGTGCGTAGGTAGCCGTTGAAATAAGGGTGAATGCAAAATTTTGTTAAAAATGACTACGGCTTTTTTTGCGATAAAACTACTGGGTGCCATTTTCGGAAGAACCAATGCAGAATATCGGTGGGCCGTGCTATAAAGTCACGACAGTCCCTCTAGTATGTAAGAACTAGGGCTTACCAAGTTGTGGCTAAACTTTCATTTATATCACAAATCAAAGAAGTAGTGAAAAAACGGACAAGGAAAAAAAAAGCAAATTGAAGTTTAGTAATGTGCAATGGGAGACACACCACTACTTTTGCTGCTTCTTGCTGAATTTGTTTATTTTTGTTGCTAAAAACATGCTGCAAGACACAAATGCAGGCTGCACGTCAACATCTGTTCTCACTGGGAATCAAAACATTTTGGTTTCTGACACGAATCACAAAACGACCTTTGCAGGTTTTTGCATAGTAAGAGAGAACCCACAAAAAAATACCTCATTACGATTTGAAAGACACCTTCTACGCTTGGTGGCTGTTAGGCCCCTTTGAAACGTGCGTGTTGCCCCATTCGCCGCGTGCGAAGTCAGCAGGAAAGTGACAAGTTACCACATGGTCAACGGTCAGCGCGAGGCTTTAAATGATAATATCTGCCACTCCTATGATCGTGTTGTCATGGGCGTTCTCCGCTTTGTTTTGCCCTACTCAAAGCCTGGCCAGCTGTAGCCGAAATGCTGACCAATTAGACGCGTACCGTTACGGAAAACGCTTCAAAGGCCTTCTCCGCGCTCGGTTACTTTTAGTTGCAAGTCTTGCCCAGCAAATACTTAGAGGTTTTTAGCAACAAAGTCTGTGTAATCCCACGAACACCTCCGCTGTCTTATGACTGTGTTACCGACGCATGCGATTCCTATGTTTGACGCAGCTGCATTGCTTGGTCATTGCGCTGCGTGTGCGACGTATGCTCTAGGGGAATTTTCTCACGCTCTCCTTCAGTCGCAGTTCAAGCTGAAAACTAGCAGATACGTCACAGAGACGGTGCAATGTTCAGTTGAGGGTCGCGTAGAAACTCGCAGCTGGCTAAACTGTCTTAGAACAACCGAGCTTTGTCATGTGATCTAACCCATGTGTATGCTGTCTACCAATAGCACTTTCATCTACACGAAATATAATCTAGGGGGATTCGGAAGATGCAGAAGATGATGGCGAGGGTGGCATAGGTGGCCTAGGTGGCGGAGACGACGATGACGAAGGTGGAGGCCGTTCGAGCAGCAATCCTTCGCTCTATCACTTCAAGGGAACGCGCAAAGGATACTGCGACAAATTTTCCGTCAACTACGAGTACTACTGCAGAGGGGAGAGCGATAACCCGAAAATCACAGCGAAGTTCTGCCCTTCGTACAAGAAAGCTTGCAAGGATCAACCGCCAGTGTGAGTGGTTTAGTACAGTACATTTCTAGAAAAATAAAGCTGCATCCGTAGTTCCCAATGGCACCATAACGAGTTACACTTTTTTCTAGAAAACAGGAGTCTGTACTTTCCCAGCAGAAGCTGTGTAAGTCTCAAAATCTACTGCATAATGTACCTTCAACACAAAAACATGACGCAAGCAACAGTTTTGATGGTATCTTTATTCGCATTTGTGTTACGTTGTCCCGCAAATTCAACGAGAAATCTTGCGCTTGTAGTCAGTAATGACGAGGAGGAAGAAAAATGTTCAAGCATGCCCCTACCAGGCCGTTTTCTCGTTTACGGTTTCTTGGATTTTCAGACTTTTTTCAGCAAAAAAATTTCCGCGCCATTGTTGTGCAAGCGATAATCTGGCCCATCAGGGAAGAAGGAAAGTATTGGGTTGGTGCAAAAGGAATGGCCGATTTGCGAATTCTCAATTTGAGTGCTATAACTTTCTAGAGAATCCACATTTCTGAATGCGGTAAAGACCCTCAAAAGCAGCAAATCTTTCGCAATACAGCGCATACTTATTTATACTCAAATCATAAAAGGGAAGAGAAATACGGACTAAAAGACAAAGAAGGTTCTTCTGCTAGAACCTTGTTTTTGACAATTCATAACTTCCTTCAAAGTTTTTTAGTATAAATGATAAATGGCCTATTTTGTAGCCACAAGCCAGTAGTACAAAATGCAATAAAAAGACTTCGGACAAAAAAGTTTGCGAAAAAGAGAAAAATTGAAATTTAAAATTTCTCAGTTTTTCAACATTTTTTCACTGTGCCTCAAAGTCCGAAATATAGAATTTTCTGATTTTCTACGTACTGAACAGCTGGATGTTTCTGCAAAAACCGTTAATAAGTGTCCTAGCCCTACGCTTACAGAATTGAGCAAAGCTTCGGCGACTGACTTCCTCAGAAGAAAATTATGGGTCATAAAATGACCGCAACAGCTACCCATGTTTGGGCGCCGATATCTCAGTCTGGATAACTTCAAAGAATGCAGTTAAGTACACATAATGTAGACAATTTCTATTACATACAAGAGCTAAATTTTCGAAGAAATCCCCTTGATAAGCGCTTAAATTCTGGCCGGAAAAGTGAATGCAATGAAATTCTGAATTTGGATGCGGTTATTTGAAGCTCAGTAACTTTACAAGAAATGATGATGAGAGCCCGATTAAGCACCATTAGATAGAGCATGAAAACAGCATCGCGATGGTATACTACATCTATTGTAAAGAAGAAGAATTGATGGGGGAAAAGTTGCCCTGAAAAAAGGCTTGGAAAATCGGCCATTCCTTTTGCACCAACCTAATAAAAATAGAGCTGAGGGGCACACTACGGTAAAGACCCAAATATCGGAAGCATACTATGTAAAAGCAGTCATCGTACGCAGAGAGTGAACGCCGTTGCGTCCACTCTAGATATCTTGTGCTTAGGAGAGACAGAAGACGGCAAGAAAGAAAGTGCGCATGATAAGAGAGACGCCGACAACATCCGTAGTTGCATCCTTCTGCGCGTGCGACGAATTGCTTATAACTAATCCCACAGGTCTGATAATTTGGTGACTAATTTAGAAACCACAAAAGCCCTGTTAAGATAGAACTTCTTTGTAACTGAGAAAATTGTGATGAACTAATTAACGAGTGAGAATGGGTGGGTTATGAAAAAAATTTGAATTTCAAGGACGTAGGTAGAGCAACGTTCCACTTTTAGTTCAGACACTGAAATTTCAAAACCATGATGAATATAGAAATTTTGAATGTCATTTGAGTTTCGTATATACCTGTGTTCCAGCCTTATTCAAATATTTGCATAATCACTAAACACATCCACAGAAAGTCCTGCATGACTATGTAACTATTAGTGTCTGGTATAATCCCTTGAGCCTCGGGCAGAGTTCACCAATTTTATCGCCTCGCGATTTCCAGAGAAGGCAATTATAACAACATCACTGCATGCTTGCATTTCGGTTGTGACAGTTAGTCGCAACTGGTCGAGTTGGAAAACTATCACAACCAAAATGCAGGATGGTCAGCATGCAATTAAATGGAACAGTTGTCTTGTGGTTAGGATCGCGAGGCGATGAAATCGCGTAAGCTCTGCCCGAACCCTTACTGAAATTCTCTCTGCTCTTGATTTTTTTGCTTGCATTTTCTACGTGTAGCCATTTTTCCAGCCCCGCAAATCCATTCACAAAAGCAGAAAGTGGTGCAGCTCCAGAAGATGGTCCGAACTCAGCCAACTTTCCTGACCTAGAAAATCCTGGAGTATGTTTTCATGACCTATTCATTTATGAACTAAAATTCTAGTATGTCTCAGTAAGATGCTTTCTAAATTGAAGCTTTCAGAAAACGTCGAAGATACATTCGAAGGTGAAAAAAGCGGAGAAACTGTAAGTTCCGCTTTCCCGTTACTAGACTTTCTTGAGTTTTGTATGCCAGGCGGCCTTGTACGGCCGATTGCGACAGACGATTATTTCCACACTGTACTGATTCGTGCAAATGTGACTATGCCTTTCCAGCTGTGCAGAGGTTCTGCAACCCGCCACCGTTGCCTTTTTTCCTGAACACTTGCAGGTGAGGCCAAGTAATGCTCAGCGGCAAAACAAAAGTCCCTGTATTGAGCCCATGTTTCATGGATGTCTGGCATCACAACTAGCCCCACAAGGCTCACATTTGATCTTCACCAGCTAATGTTTCCATATATGCGCATGGAAACTTCATTTGAAACGGGACAAAGGAAACAGTTACTATAAGCATATAGTGCTTCAGTCTTTCATCCCATTCAGGATTTTACTTATTTGTCGTGAAGCTTCGACTCCACGATATCGTACGCGTGCTGATGCTTCCCTGTTTCATACCAAGTTCAAAATTCGAAGTAAAAGGAAGTTTCAGTTAGAGGGGTTGAAGAAGCAGTTCACAGCAATACGGGCGCGAATGGCATGCACGCAGCCACATCTTTGCAAGCCCTGCGCCTTTTAAGCCTTACGGTTAATTGGGAGGGATCCATATGTTGCCGGTAGGCTCTATCCCGCGCGGAGAGCTGGGACAAATCTGTGATGTATTGAATGCATAGGTGCGATAGTGTGAGAATTTGCTCAACTCCCCTTCACCCCTGAACCGGGACCAAGGTGACCCCCTTGACCAGAAGCCGAGAAGAAAATCAACAGTGAGGTAAGGCTAAGCAAAGGAGATATTTTTACGGGAATTGTTTGTGTATCGGAAAGGAGGAAGAAGTATAGAGATTCACGAACTTCCAGCAGGAAAAAAATAGTAGCTTCTGTAGTTGCACAGCGTCAGGGAATAAATAGCTTGAGAGTCCGTTCATAGAAGTACCTAGTGAAAGGTGTGCCTGGTGATTTCTGGACACTTAGGAGTTTTCAACATAAAAAAAATTCATAGATTTTATAAATGATTAGCTGGTACACGGAAATAGTCAACATTGGAGCCCCCTCGTCCTCCGCTTTCAAAAAATATATAGCATGTCTGAGATGCATTCAAAGTGCCTGAGTGAAGGGTGTGCCTAGTGATTTCTGGAGTTTTTTTGAGTTTTTAACATAAAAAATTCATAACTTTTGTAGATGAATATCTTTTACGCTGAGATAGTCACCGTTGTAACCGCCTCGTCCTCCGCTTTCCGAGGATATTTGCCTGGGGTCCGTTAAAAAGTGCCGGGTGAAGGATGGGCGAGACTTTTATAATGGGAGTGCTCAAGAGGCTTTTTACCATCGTGAAAAGACGTCTACTTGAGCATTCCCATAATAAAAGCCTCACCCAACCTTCACCCGGCACTTTTTCAACGTACCCCAGGCAAAGTATATATTTTCTGAAAGCGGAGGACGAGGCGGTTCCATTGTTGACTACTTCCTTGTACAAATTGTTCAGATACAGAAGTTATAAATTTTATCCTTAGAACTCGTAAATATCCAGTAATCACTGCCCACACCCTTCACCAGGCACTTTTTTCAAAGACTCCAGGCAAAGTATAAATCCTCGGAAAGCGGAGCACGAGGCCGTTCCGATGTTATCCATCTTGGCTTATAAGTTCTTCATCTACAGAAGTTATGGATTTTTTAATCCAAAAATTCGTAAACATTTGGCTACCCACGCGCTTCGCCAGGCACTTTTTTAAATGACTCCGGACAAACTCCCAAACAAACTATATAATTCCTGAAAGCGGAAGAAGAGATGGTTCTGAAAACAATTTCCTTGCTAACGTTGCTGTTCATCTACAGGAGTAAGAAACTTTTTCTTTCAAAAATTTGAATGCTCAAAAATTGTCTACCTCTTTCCTGAAACAGATGTTCTTGCATACACGTCTTCTACTCTACGGTATTTTCGAAAACAGACAGGATGTTATCAGTCCTACTTCAATTTTCACAAAAATAACAGCAAATGGCGAAAAAGATTGAAAATGATAAAATGTTGATTAGGGAGAATGATGAGAGAACACCACCACTCCCCCCCCCCCCCCCCACCTCGGTCGACATTTTACAATTTCTCGATCAAGAGAAACACCCTTCAGCCTAGAGGGGCTGCGACCACTGTGCCCCTCTTCACCCTGGAGGAATCATTCTTACCTTATCGCAGCTGTGATTGTATGCATGGCTGCGTAATTTGTGCGGAAGGGATCGCCCCTGTTTCGGCGACATATGGTCCTCTACCTTGGGGGATGTAATCGCGTTCGCGCCGTCGGGCCCTGCGTCTTCTTCCGGTAATGGATCTTAGGGGAACCCATGTCTCATTCAGAGTAAGATCGACTCGATCGGCTGAGATCTCGCGCGGTCCTCGCCTAGATCTGTGTTCACGGGCGTGTTATCTGACCATTTTACCATCCTTAATTGACAAGCGAAGCCTAATTGCGAGTTCTTTCTTTCTTCGCTCACACCTGGGGAAATGATCATATGATACGTTCGCGAATGCGGTGCAGGCTTCAGGCGAGGCGGCCGCGCGGGATTCGGGCTTTCTCCAAACGAGACAATAGATGGACGTAGATTAACTTATAATAGACAATAGCGGCGGCAGCGCGTGTGGCGTGTGCTGTCTCAACTAGCATTTCCCTTGCTTTCTTCTCTTTTCAAAGCATTTTTTCTGCGTATACATACATCTTAGCTGCTCACTTAGCGATTGAGCAGAGTGCTGAACTGTTTGAATGCCAGTGGATGATCCTGTGCTTGGTGGCATCCGTGCCTGTAAATCTCGCGCGATTTGTTAGCCACTATACCTCATAATTCTCCATGAGCGCAAATTGTGCGAAAGAGACTGTCAAGCTAACGTCAGCTTACTTAGAGTGTGTTTATGCCTTTGAAATCCTCGCTCTTCGAGGTTACACGTCGAATTGCCAAATCGCGTCAATTCGGCAAAACTCGGTCGATGTTATGCTGCTCAAAGACAGCAGAAATCAGTAGAGAATGATACCCAACCAAATTTCGCAGAGAATGGGATCAATTAAGGAATATGTTGTAGGTTGTGGTATTCCGGATGTCCTAAATACGAGCAGTACCACTATGCCTCCCAATTTATTTACTCCAAAGCGGAGAAGGGAAAGAAAGTCGGTAAGCAAATTTGGCTTATCTGTTTTCCCAGGTACCAACTGTTCCACGTTTTAGAACTGCCGCAGAGCTCCAAGCCGTTCAGCGTTCTTTCACCTAACGGCGAGCGAATTCCAGTTGTTGTTAAACAACCTGGAGGTGGCAACGTGGCCAGGTAGGAGGATTTGCATAATTCTTTACAAGGGAGGGATACTTGATGACCGTGACCATTCGTAATGGGGCACACATCATTAAATATGTCTTAAAACGCTGGTCACAAATCTTCTTTTCCTTTTCCTTCAGACAATGATTGTCTGAATTAAGTTATGGGTTTTTTCCGCAGATTTTTTCGGGCTATCGAAGCCCATATTAGCATAAAGCATTCAGAATCAATAATATCCATGTTTTTTAATGAGGCGGGATGCAGTTGGGACGGGCTGTCCAAGCTTAAAGTAATCGCGCTCTTCTTCAAACATTGTTCCGAGGAGTGAAGCAAGCAATTTGAACGCTCATAGTTTTGCTTAACCGAGATGGCGTTAGTTTTTGTGGAAAATCACTCATAACTTATTTGCCAGATTCGCTTAGCAGAAGGTGAAAGCAGATTTGGAACTGGCGTTTCAAGGCCATCTAAGGACATGTGTCTTGTTATAGCTGGCCTTGTTAGTGAGATTTTCCATATACTGAACCACTTTTCTAGGGATGAGACACCTTCCGATACGGTAAGGTGGGATTCTCCAATCTCTTTGGACCCAGAGGATTTTGAACCCGTTCACGAGGTAAGATTAACACTATATATCGAAGTAAATGCGGTGTCCCTGTTATCTGGACCCATTTCGGGTCCTCATAGAATTCGTGCTTCAGCTTAATGATTTTTCGTGGTCCGAGAGGACGTCTAGAGGGCTCTGCATGATAGCGGGTTTTTGCGGCCATTGCACACGTAGGATGCCACAAGGCCTTGAAAGGCACCATCCACCATAAGTTAGGGGTCTTGAGCCTTCGGTAGTCTACGATGGTAGGACTAACTATTAAGCCAATGCCCAAGTCACTGCGCAAAATGTCGCTTCGAAAGCGAGAAAATCGCTTCGGAATAGAGAAGAAGCACGAGGACCCTTAGCCTGCACCTTTCCCTCTAGTAGTACCGCCCATCCGTGCTGCCCATCCAGTCACCGCTCGAAGAACCCGCGGTGCGAGCTCTTCGGAACGGGGATTGTCGGGGCTTGCGGATTGCTTTATACTCAGAGTCAGCGCCATAGTACGACAAAAATATGGAATTCAAAAATCTGGGTAGAGCCTTTGAACAGTTGGACAATCCCTTTGCAACATCGTTTTAGGTAACTGGAAGCAACCTAACACCTGATGCAGGTGCCAAGGCTGTAAAAAATTGTTGACTCAAAATAGGTGAATATCTGTCATAATTAAAGTGAACTCACTTTGGAGAGATAGCCTGCCACAGTAAGAAACAAGTTGATGAACATGTAAATGTGGCACGTGGCACGAGGTTGACACTCCATCCGGTGAAGTTGGAACTACATGTGATACAGGATAAGAACTCATCCTTTTCCGAAAAAAACAGGTCCATCTAACGTAAAGGCAAACTCCAGCAATCTCCGTTTCATAAATCACCTTTTTTCCATGAATATGTATGATTTCAGCGCAAATCCAAGAATGCCACAACAGTACAGCAAGCTAGTGCCTCACTTACCAACAATCATAACGACAAAGTTGAATGGTACACGAAAGAAAATGAGAATGTCGAGTGGTACACGAAAGAAAACCAAACCCTAAAGTAAGTTATTGAGCCTCTTTAGATAAAACCAAATATAAACTATTACAGAGACGATCCTGGTAAAGGCGCGACACCTACGGAACGGGAGAAGTAATGAATATGGTAATGTGATAGCTGCTGCGTATTAGTATTTCCAACTTTACAGAGACGTACCAATCGTACCAAGTGACAGTGTGTTCTCAAACGCCCTCCAGCAGTATGGTTCCTTCACTGATACAAGGGGTATCCTGCACAGACCTCGCAGCAGATCGCCCTTCACAAAGCCAGGTACGATCTGCTCTTGAGAGACATTGCCATATTGTTAGTAATACACACCAGAGGTATTCTCCTATAGTGATGAGTGTCAAGCGTTGGGAACGATAGGGCGGTCAAAATCTTCTGAGTTACTTACATAGTTACATGATTTATAAAAATGTGCAAGAGAATTGTTTATATTTTGGATGATCAAAATCTTAGGTCGTTCCAAATGGATATCGCGTTTTTCAAATGAACGCCAATTTCGTATAACCGAGTTTTCTAAGGGATCTCTGTAGCATTCTACAAACATTTCACCCTCTTTCCAATGGTTTTGAATTTGCTGCAGCGAGTCAATAAGCTCTCAAAAAACAATCAAAATCTGCGACCCATGCTTTTCGAGATGGTCAAGTTTCGCGCTTTTTTCTAAACTTTTATATTAATCATTTGAAGGAAAAGTAAAGATTGATAGGGCAAACCTTAGAGGATACGGTACAACTTCTTCCTCTTTTTTGTAGCTCTCCATAATATTCCAAAGGTATCTTACTGAAACTACTAGAACCATCGTATTTTGGCAGGCCTACGTCAGCCATAATCGCATTGAATACCGATAGTGTTTCGGGATTTGAAACTTGCAAAATATTACCATGATATAACACCAATTTTACAGAGTAAATGAGAGTTTACGGATTCGAAATATCGACTTTCGAGCTTTTGGGGAACAGCCTGGGGCGCATTCAAAAACATGAGTTATGATGATTTTATCCTCAGTAACTCCACGAATCGGAAACAAAAAAGACCCATTAGAAAGAGGAGAAAATGCTGCTTTAAATAGGAACCACTGCTCTACCTTTGATGTTCTACGAGGTTTTATTTGACCAATTATGGAAATAGGTGGATCTGCCAAAATTTCATCAAAGAAGTATGACGAGTTATGGAAAGAAGAAAAAACTCTTTTGCATCCTCCAGGTTTTGCTCTATGAAACTGTGTTATTTGAGCTCCTTCGGAGGGTTGATGTAAAAGTTTACAAATTGTGGAACTTGACCATCTCGAAGAGCATGGGTCGCAGATTTTGGAAAATTTCTGAGAGCTCGTTGACTGCGCTGCAACGACCTTATAACCATTAGAAAGAAGATGAAATGCTGCATTGAATGCTCTTAGAAGTCTTCATTCCCCGATGACGTTCATTCAATTAAGAACGACATTATTTCAGAACATCCTAGTAATTTTTAAATTTTTTCAAAGATAATAGCCTTGCAAAAAATTTTTTCCGAACGTGTGGCAGCGGCCTCGCGATTGATATGGGTTTGCAAAAATTTTTAGAAACATCCCAAAAAATTTTTTCAAAGTGCGTGGCTAACGTCACATACCTGAACTCGAAAAAAATTCCCCCGTATCAAACAGCCCTTTGGACGAAAATTATGTCTTGGGGTTTGGATACTGGAATAGTGTGATTAATGTTATTGAATTTTTTTCAAGAGCGTTTTCTGACTTAAGGAGACGATTCAAGAAGTACATAGTGTCCTAAAAGTTTACACTGTGACTTTTCATGTCTTCTTGCTCCAATTTTCGCCGATTTTCAGTTACCAGTGCTCATGTGAAGATACCCTCTGATTCAACCTAGCGGCTGGAAGGCGACCGCTTGCACGCGCGACGCACCTGCGTCTCCCTCGCGCCCCTGCTCTTTGACCATTCCCTAGCCTTCAAAGCCCCGCCTTCCAGCCGCCAGTCTGTTGAATCAAAGGATAGATTTTTGAAGAGAGATCAAGCTATTGATGGCTCTATTTGCCCCACAAAAGAAATCAAACACTGAAATTCTTGTAAAAAAACTCCTTGAAACTTAAACAAAGTCTTCATAAGAATAAAAGTAAAAATGGCTTGCACCGCAAGAAATCAATGCAAGGCCTCAACTAACACAGCACCCTGAATGAATTAGTAGGCGGAGCATTTCGAGTGCATGCGATTAAGGCCCGTATGCACGTACATCCCCGCGGGGAGGGGATGTGCGCTTAACCATTGAAATGATCCCCGCTGGGGATCCCCTCCCCTCCCCGCGCGAACCCCCGTATGCACAAAGACAATATCGTACAAGGGATCCCCTGTGGGGAGGGGAAGTGAACCCTCTTATGCACAAGAGGGGATCAAGCGGGGAAATCACCTTGCTTTCAAATTTTCTATGAAAAACTCTTTCTTATTTCATATTTTGAGTGCAACTCATCTTCATCTCCTCACTTCAATTAATTTAGGGTTGCGGAATGTGCGTATGCAGTGACTGCGCTCGGGGCGCTAAAAATGATTTTTTCTACTCCCATTATGTTCCTGCTTTCTTGGATGCTGCCCACTTTCGTTCATGCTGCTCCATTTCAGCGTCAAAATGTTGAACTATAGAAGTTGATGTGTCTCTGCAAGGGAATGGGTAGAAGACGTTATGCTGCCGAAAAGGGGGGGGGGGTGCCGCGCGGACGCTCAAAGCAGTATTCTAACACATAACAGAAGCTGCAATGTGCCAGCTCTCCATAAACGCTGTAACTATCAGCTGCATATCGTCGTTTATCCCAGGGGAATGATCCCCAGCAGCCATCCCTGCTATGCACAAGGGGAACGCTGGGGAGGGGATCACTCCCCAGGGGATTTCTACTCAGAAATAGGCAAATATGCTACTTTCTAGATTTTTTCGAGGCAGTTTATGTTGAAAAAACAAGATAATGGCAACATGTCATGAAATATGAAAGTTACAGTGTGTTTATTCAACCTATATAGTTAAAACTATTATGTTATATGAAAAATGCGCAAATTTCCTGAATGATCAAGAACTCCTACAAATAATCGAAATTGGCAGCTATTGTTGCTCGGATTTCTTCTCAAGAGGCGAATATAGAAAAGAAAGACAAATTGCAAGCCACAGGTCGCTGAGAGAAGAACCCGGCTTTCAAAGAAAATCCTCCATCAAAATGAACGAAATGCTTGGTAATGACTGAGCAGAACCAGAATATCTCTCTGGCATGATTTACACCATCGAACCCCTACTTCGTTGCAGGGGATGTCGATCCCCTCCCCCGCGTTATTGAGTTGAATTCGCGCATACGGGGTTCGAGTGGGGGAAGGGAAGGGATCCCCTCCCCCATTCGAACCCCGTATGCACTGGGGTTCGCTCGATCAATACCTCTGAAATCATTCACACCATCCCCGCTTAGGTGCAGGGGAGGGGATCGCTCCCCTCCCCTCTGTCATGGCGGGGTTCGGCGGAGGGGATCGTTCCCCTGGGGATCCAGCTCCCCTCCCCTCCCCAGCGGGGACGTACGTGCATACGGGCCTAAAAGCATTGGTCGTGAGGGGACGAGTTGTGGCTCGCAGTTTACGAGATATCCGCGAAGCGTTGTCGCGCTAGACCAGTCCAAGAGTCAGGCACCAGTCAGCACTCCTGGCGCAACGTTACTTTGGCCTAATGCGTCTGTGCCACCCCCTCCCCTATTCTCGCGCCGTGTCACTTCAGCACCGTACTATTTTCAAGCCACAAAATTCGAGTGCGGCGTGCCCTTCAAAGAAGCCGCCGTGCGAGGTTTGAGTCCTGACGTGTGGCCAGGTCGCGTTGCTACGATTACGATAGCCAAGCTTAGATTATCACATAGTACGATTACTGTGTGAGAAGGAGAATAAATGGCAAGAACTCAAATTCCCACCAATTTGAAGAAAGATTGAACAAACTGCAACGCGCGTAATTGTTCCTGACGTACCCTTTGGGTGGAGGACATTAGGTCGCCGAAAGAGGGCGGTCTCCGCGGTCATCTGCGACAAATACGCACCCTTGTACATACGCGGACATGCGTTCCTGCAGGGAATCCGCGCGGGACTCTTCCAAATTCGGCGACCTAATGTCCTCCACCCGTACCCTTTGATTCAACTGGATTGGCGGCTGGAGGGCGGGGCTTAGTGACCTAAAAGGGCTAGAGAATGATCAGAAAGCACGTTAGCGAGAGACACGCAGACTGCATCGCGGACGCGGGGGGGGGGCAGGCGTTATGGAGCAAAGCTACGCCGCATTTCCTTGCGGTATATCCTGAGGGCCTTTTGCGTTGCGTCACTTTTAATTGCGCAGGAGTAGCGCTGCTCCTGCTAGCGGATTGAGCCATCCCCCATTACCACGACCTGATATGTTGAAACTGTATAGATGCAATAAGGAAAACAAAGAAGACGGCAAACAAGAAAATTAAAAAAATAAATAATTCTAGGGATGAATCTGAGATGATCCAATGCTTGATTTGAACTAGACATGTTCAAGAGAAGTGGGGCACGAGAATTAGTAGAGAAAAGAATAGAAATTTTCCGTCATGAGTTTCCAAGAGAAATTAACTCACTCATCTTTTACTTTCTCTTGGCTTGCTTTGCAGACTTTTCCTCCTCATACTCTATATTTGATTCGCCCTTGAAATGCGTTTATCATTCACATTTTGATCTCTTTATCTATGGAGAGTGAGGAAAATGGGTCAGTTCGCTCGGTAGCGCTAGCTCCTCTGCGACTGCAATTAGGAGCGACGCAACGCAATGGGCCCTCAGGATATACCACAGGCAAATGCGGCGTAACTTTGCTCCATAACGCGGCGCCGCCGCGGACGCGAGTGGTCGTCTTCCAGCCGGCCACTTGTTGAATCAAAGGGTAGCGTATAAGTATTAGGTTGGTGCAAAAGTAATGGTCGATTTGCGAATTTTCAATTTGACGTGCTATAACTTTTTGAAGAATTCACATTTCGGAATGCGGTAAAAACTGTCAGAAGCAGCAAATCTTCTGCAATGCAGAGCGCATTCACATATATTCATATCACGAATGGGCAGAAGAATATGGATTGAAAAACAAAAACGATTCTTCTGCTAGAACCTTGTCTTTTACAATTCATATCTTCCTTCAAAGTTTGTTAGTATGAATGATAAGTAGCCTATCTTGTAGCCGCAAGCCAGTAGCACAAAGTACAACAAAAAGAATTCGCACAAAAAGGTTTGCGAAAAAGAAAAAAAATTGAAATTTGAAACTTCTCACTTTTTTGAACATTTTTCAGTGTGCCTCAAGGTCCCGAATATAGAATTTTTTGATTTTCTACGTACTGAACGGCTGGATGTTTTTGCAAAAACTGCTAATAGGATGCACTAGCCCTACGCTTACCGAATTGAGCAAAGCTCCGGCGATAACTTCTTTAGAAGAAAATTCACCTGTATCACCTGTATCCCCGTTGATCATCGTGTTGCACGAGCGGGTACCAGTGATGCCTCCATTCGTCCCTGTCTCGGGCGATTGTTGACCAATGTTTACGTATCGCACCAGGAACACGTGGAACGCTCTGAAGGACTTCATTAAAGGACTTCGTGAACATATCTGACCATCGCGTCGGCGGTCTTCCTCGTTCGCGTTTGACGTCCAGTGGTATCCAATCTGTTACAGCTCTCGTCCACCGGTTGTCGTCGAAACGCATTACGTGCCCGGCCCATCTTATCTTGTTCTGCTTGGCGTACGCGGGAGCGTCCCTGATTTTTGATCGTTGACGTAGGGTAAAACTTCGTAATCCTTGCCTCACTTGCGTTAGTCGATTCACTCCTAGCATCACTCTCTCAACAGCTCGTTCGATGACGCTAACCGCGTGTTCATCCTGCTTTCTCATTGTCCATGTTTCTGAAGCGTACGTCAAAGCAGGAAGAACCGTCGAGTTGAAAAGGTGGGCGCGGAGCCGGATGTTCTTGGTCTTCTTCACTACGTCCTCAATTGTCTTATATGCTCCCCATGCTGCACGTTTCCTCCTGCTCAGTTCCGGAGCTAGATCGTTCATCATATTGAGTTCACGACCTAGGTAGGTGTAGCTTGAGCATTCGGTGATGTTCGTCCCGTTGAGCATGAAAGGAGCATCAGGCACTCTTCCGTTCCTCATGAACATCGTCTTCGTTAGATTCAGCCGTAGACCGATCTTTCCACACACTTCGTCAAACTGGGCCAGCATTTGTTCCGCCTGCGTGATGCTTGGTGTTATCAATACGATGTCATCAGCAAAGCGAAGGTGGTGTAGCTGCCGGCCGTCGACTTTCACTCCCATGTTGTCCCATTCCAACTTACGCATGACGTTCTCCAGAGCGGCACTGAATAGTTTCGGCGATATAGTATCGCCTTGTCGCACGCCTCTCTTCACGTCAATGATGATGTCCTTGTAGAATGGTGTTATGGTGGTTGTGAAGTCGTTATACAGCTCACGAATTATCTTGATGTAATGAGTCGGAATACCTTGATTGCTCAAGGCATCGATGACGGCTTCAGTCTCAACCGAGTCAAAGGCCTTCTTCAGGTCGATGAAGGTGAGACAGAGCGGCATCTTATACTCTCGTGACACTTCAATGAGCCTTGACACCGTGTGTATGTGGTCGATCGTGCTGAATCCTCTTCGAAACCCAGCTTGCTCGCATGGTTGTCCTTCGTCCAACTCTCTTCCCCGATCCTGTTGAGAAGGACTCGCGTAAAGAGTTTGTAGACTACAGACAACAAGCAGATAGGGCGATAATTGCCGATGTCGCAGGGATCTCCCTTCTTGTACAGCAACACGGTTTTGCTGGTCTTCCATTGCCTTGGAACCTTGCCTTCCGTCAGGTACCGCGTGAAGAGCCTTGCCAAAGTCATGATGAGAACTGGCGAAAGATTCTTCAGATGTTCTGGCTTAATCCTGTCGGGACCGGGTGCTGTACGGTTTTTCATCGACATGATAGCATGACGAATCTCGGAAGGAAGAACAGACGGTGCGACATACTCGTCCTCCTTGAGATGGCATGGTGGAAGGTGGACGTGGCTCGCAAAAAGATCCGAGTAGAAGCCGTGGATGACCTTCTCCATTGATCTTCGGGAAGCAGTTATGGTTCCGTCAGGACGACGAAGTGCGGTCATCTTTGTCTTGAAGTTGACGAAGCTTCGGCGGGCGTTGCGTATACTTCTTCCAGAAGAAAATTATGGGTCATAAAATGACCGCAACAGATACCCATGTTTAGGCGCCCATATCTCAGTCTGGATAACCTCAAAGATTACAGTCAAGTATGCATAATGTAGACAATTTCTATTGCATACACTAGCTAAATTTTCAAAGAAGAGCAATTGATAGCGCTTTAATTCTGGCCAAAAAAGTGGATGCAATGAAATTCTGAATTTGGACATGGTTAGAAGCTCAGTAACTTTATAAAGAGATGAGGATGGAAGCCTCTTTCAAACACCATTAGATAGAGCATGAAAACAGCTTCTTGATGGTGCACTACATCTATTTGAAGGAAGAAGTTTTGATGGAAAAAAGTTGCCCTGAAAAAAGGCTTGGAAAATCGGCCATTATTTTTGCACCAATCTAATACTTGACCATGTTCATTCAGTACATACCTTACATCCTTGAATTCAACAAAGAAGCCGACCTCAAATATACGCGCCCAGTCTCTTGGCCGCCACCTAGTCCTACGTTAGAAACTGAAATGGCGATCTATCGTCCTTGAGCTAAGTTGGTTTTAGGTCTATGGGAAGCAAATCCGGACAATCCGCACAACAGAGATCACGCAAACAAGTGGTACTACGCCCCACGATCTGTCAACGTGGATTGGCTCAGCGGACAGGTAAAACACCTTTTGCATTTTGTCTTTCAAGTATAATGTCACTGACTCAGCTCGCTTGGGGTGCCCATTGGGCCGTTCCGGCTGCTTCCGTCGGAGGAACTGATGGTTTCAGTGCAGTGCACTTCCCAACCATAGGAACATTCGCCAACATTCCAGACGATTACGACTAAGCGGCTTCCTTCACAGAAACTGCAAGATCAATATAATTTATATGTGCTTCTCTTCTCTCATCACTAAACCGAGCAGGATTTGTACATTTAGGCGCCCCATATTCCCTATGCCTAAAGTGAAATGTTACTTGCTACCCTTACTAATTTATTTCTCACTTACTGCATTGTTCATCATCGTCCTCAAAATGGACGATTTTGTTTGTTTGCTTGAATGCTTCTAATGTGGCATACAGACAATTTCCATAAAGGTTCTCGACTTTCGCACTGTTTGCGTTTGTTGTTGTCTGTTGGAGCTCTTTTATAGTCCTTGGAAAATGTCATTGGTAGCACATTGCTCTTCAAAGGAGTTCATGTTTTGCTATACTTACAACCTCTACTAATCTCTTCTGGAAGGGACGGGAGGGGTAGGTGGAGGGAGTAAAGGTGGAGGGAGGAGGGGAAGTGAGGGTGAGGAAGGAAATGGGGAGGAGGAGGAAGCGGATGAGTGGCAATTGCCAGGGTGGCGGTCAAGATTTGTGATAGCATGTGCCAGCCGCCAGCTGGGTACCGTACGCGGTGCGCTGGTCACTCCGCCCCCTGTTAATTAGCCTAGGAATGCGTTGCAGCTGTTAGAGAACTCATACTTCGTTCTTGTTTCTTCAGTTGGTTGCAATTTGGAAACAGCAGGTTTCAAAGTTTCAATTGAATTAAGAATCAGTTTTCAGATCATTTTTCATTATAGAATCAGTTCACAAGCTCGTTCTAATGTGTTTCAGTTATTTGTTCCTAGTAGGTTTGTCTAAAATGATTTTATAGTTGCAGGTTTGAGGATTTTTTTCGAAAATGCTTGGAAAAGTGTTTTTCTCTATTTACATCTGTTACCATATTGAATATGCTTTGATGTGCACTCTCAAATTCAGTTTCAAAAAAATTCAGCTTATGAAATAAAACACCATTATATGTTTTATCAGAAAAGTAAGTTTTAAAACCCTAAACTAAAAACAGATTTCATTGCGTCGAGAATTCAAAACAAGCATTATAGGCGAATTTTGTTTCTAACTTGTTTTGAAAATATGCGTCATATCACATAAATTTTCTTAGGTTTCAGGAAAATCATAGTGCACCTATATATTTCCGAAACTGCCTTGAATAACAAAAATCTTTCATTTTGCTACCGAAAACTGTTATCCTCAATATAAATCGATCTGTAACTCAATCGCAATTGCGTGTAAACTAATCGTAAGATGTGAGGTCACTCAGACAGTCATGCCCGAGGTGTTCTAGATTGATTTCACACTTCAAAGTTCGATATCCAGAAGTCACTTGGTCATTCATAGGTAAATCAGCAAATCTCCCGAATTTCACGACCAAAACATCAGCTGTTCACTGATTGCCAAAAAAAGAAAATAAAAATCAAAACAAGTTTCTGTAAACAGTCAAGCTTCACCCCAGCTTGTAACAAGCTTATATCTCACTATCAGGAGTTATTTTTATTATTATTACTGAGTTATTTTTACTTGACATATCGTCCGAGAAACTCGTCCGCCGCAGTAGGGCGGAGCTTCGAGCGAACACGTTATTGCCAGTTCATGACCCCGCGCGCCACTGTTACCAGCTATCGTTCATCTTGACATATAAAACTAAAACGCGCTCAGCGCATGGCGCAGGGGAATGTAGAACATAATTTTCGTGGTATGAATGGTAAAAAAGAGGTTTCTGGTTTCTCTCCACTTGTTCCAGGGTCAAGCAACACACAAGGGGCCATCGAAAGGTCAACGGAGACTGTGAATTTTTTCTGGAATTACAATGTGACATCCTTTGGTGGATGCAGCACGTGCCGAACCCTAACTGCAAACGCGATAGTGGGGCTATCGTGCAGCGCGGCCATTATCATCAGAATCTGTCTTTCAAGCCGTTACTCAGTCAACAACATATTTATTCGATAAAAAAATTGCAGCTGAATTACTGCGCAACCTTTCACATTGCCCATTTTGATAAAGCAACAAGAAATGAGACGGTAATATGCACAATCTGCAATGAGCGTTCCTTCCAAAACGGTGTTTTCAGCATTTTGGTGTGCATTTTGTGTGACATATTCTCCTAATGACGTACGTACAGCGAGGAGGACGTCCTTGGCATTTCTAAATAATCATTTTATAAGAGCTAAGAGAGTAAATCTTCAATCTTCTGAATTCTGTCTCTGCCCATGGGCGAGAAGTTTTTGACTTGAAAAATTACCACGCTAGCATTCATGCAATAAATATGGATCTGCCCCTTACCTTGATCCGTTGGTTTTTACAGATTTTCAAGCAAAGTAGGCGACATTTAATCTTTCCGAGGCTTACTACAAGGATGGAAAGAAGCAGAAGGCTGATCAACAAGAAGTTCATTGCTTCTGTTGAGTTGAAGATTTACGAATCCTAAGTGGCGCAGTTTCACTTACTTATATACTGCTAGGTTTATTGAACCGCACTGAACGAAGAAAGTGCCGCTAACTCGCATATTGTCTTATTCATGCGATCGTTGATGTCTTAGACGTCATTGGTGATTTCTATCCTCAACATGGAAATTTCGAAGAACGGAGCACCTTTGTGTAATTAACATCTTGCTGGTGATAAATTAACTCTTGTGAGAAACTCGGGAAGGTACTTTTGCTGCATTGAAAAAGACAGATTTTTGTGCGTAGTCGAATTATGCTCATTAGAAATTAGTTGGCATGCCAGCCCTCGCTCGCATCGAATATTTAACTGGCTCAACAAAGAGCAAGCTCAACCAGGGCTCGGCACAGCTGGCACCGGGTCAAGCTAGATTTCGTTTTTAGGGCGGAAAGCAAAAGGGATATCATTTCCCTGGGGTCCGGGGCGGAGAAGAGAAGCAAGAATGCCATCGCACGCCACCGGCATGCTGTTTATCAAACAAACGGCGTTGTTTCGGGCCAAAAGGCAATAGTGTGACACCAAATTTGGTGTGTGCATGCGCATTGGGCGACCCGAACTACATAAAATGTATCTACACTGTAGAAGTTTACATACAGAGAAGAAACAATTTCATAAGCTTTTCTTTTCAGCGTTTTGTAGGCGTCTAAAAATTACTCGGGTCTGCTCTGCAGTCGGAAAATCGGCTTTTTCTGCTTCTCACGATGTGAATTAACCACTTAAAAAACTCAGAAAGCTGTGAAAAGTTGTTCCATGAGATCAGCATGCATGAAAACCCTACTACACTTTTGCATATTCTGAAAATAATGAAGGGTCTTCAAAATAGGTGGAAGGGGACTTCGTACGAAGTTTTCAAAATCAAATGGGACTTCGTCTTGAAATTATCCTGGTGCCAGCTTGTGCCGAGCCCTAAGCTCAACCCCTTTCGTTTTGGATTTCTTCTACTTTTCGTGCAACACAGGGTAGACTTCCTAACCGTATCGCCTTGAAGTACCGCATCAAACTCATCGCGGAATAGAAATGAGTTCTAACGCTATTATCTATATACAGGGTGTCCCAAAAAAATGTGAACACTGTTTGATCGTTAATAACTCCGTTGCTTTCACGTCTTTCGCCGAGCTTGAGGCACCATTCTGTGGAGCGAGGTTCAACTTAGATTTGTAGTAAGGAGCGAATCACCGATCGCTGTTCGTTACTGTAAGATTACAGTATGAACTTCCAGTATGTGGACCCATTGAGAAATACGCCGTTTGACAAAAGTTTATTCAAAAAATCTGAGAAATTGTGTACTAGGGTTTTCGTGCACGCTAATTCCATTAGAGAACTTTTTACGAGTGTTTTTAGCTTTTTTGACCGGGTAATCACATTTCTGACAAATGCTGGAAATTCAATTATTACGGTTTACCTAGAATAACCTTGGAAAGAAGCATCCCAATAAAGTGGAAATTTCATATTCGAAATCAGCGGCTTCTATTACCATAATATAGAAGTTTTTGGCTTGTTTGGTTCTGTTCCGAGGCAGAATACGGCCTCCAATGGCCTAAATTCCTTGTCGAAGTTCCTACCGTAGTTCCACAGTAATGAAGAGCGATCGCCGATTCGCTCCACACTATAAATCTAAGCTAAACCTCGCTCTATAGAATGGTGCCTCAAGCTCGACGAAAGACGTGAAAGCAAGGGAGTTATCAACAATCAAACAGTGTTCACATTTTTTTGGGACACCCTGTATATATATATATATATATATATATATATATATATATACTAGCTGGCTTACCCGGCTCCGCCGTATCCGGACCAAACTTGGCACACATACACTTCGGGCCCCGGCGGGTGTCACAGTCCACTTTTCGTTATCGATCGATGTCGATTTTACCGATTTTTATCGATTTTTTTGCAGAGTTCACCTACAGGGCTAGGAGTTGGCACAGGGGGGAAGTGAGCATGGGGATTCCGAATACAATATTAGTTTTCAGAATTATCGATTGCTTTTATTGATTCTATCGATTTTTTGGCAGAGTTCACCTACAGGGCTAGGAGTTGGCACAGGGGGGAAGTGAGCATGGGGATTCCGAATACAATATTAGTTTTCAGGATCGTCCATTACTTTTATCGATTTTATCGATTTTTTTGCAAAGTTTGACCTGCGGGGCTTGGAGTTTGCACAGAGGGTAATCGAGCATGCAGATTACGAATACAATATTACTTTTCAAGATCGTCCATTACTTTTATCAATTTTATCGATTTTTTGAAAATTTGAGCTAGGGGGCTGGAATTTGGCACAGGGGTGTTCGAGCATGCTGATCACCCCCCTTGGGGATGATCAGCATGCTCGATTACCCCCCTGTGCCAACTCCCAGCCCCCTAGCTCAAACTTTGCAAAAAAATCGATAAAATCGATAAAAGTAATCGATAATCCTGAAAACCAATATTGTATTCGGAATCCCCATGCTCGATTACCCCCCTGTGCGAACTCCCAGCCCCGTAGCTCAAACTTTGCAAAAAAATCGATAAAATCGATAAAAGTAATCGATAATCCTGAAAACCAATATTGTATTCGGAATCCCCATGCTCGATTACCCCCCT